GCTTTGGGAAAAAAACACAGGTAAGTGAATTGAGTGGTTTATATGAAATTCTGAAACTATTTTAGGACTGGATTTTGGGTGTAGTAATAGCAAGACCTTATCCTTATGGAATATTGTGTTTGGTGGATCCACCATTAAGGTCCCTAATACTCCTACTCTTCTGGCTGAGGTGATGGCAACAAGGAAGGCAACCCTCACTGATAGGCAAGACATGGAACACATAGCTAGCAGTTTTATGGGAGGTTTAGCAAGTGCTCAAAGCACTAAAGTAAGATTCCCCTAGGGGGATTGGTTTCTTCACAGCTGGAAAGTTTCTGACCAGATTTCAACAACCTGACTTATCAGGTGCTAAATATCAAGGAACCATCCATTGGCAGGTGACACACACTAATTACTGCTAGATGAACTTGCAGGGAGCTAAGGGAAAAGCCCATAAGCTTGAGGATAAAAATATAATCGAAAATTGTGGGAATATCAGGTGCCTCTGGAGACATATAGTTTTGCTGGGCCCAGACAGATGAAGGTTTCAACTTGGCTAGATTATATTTTCCAGTGGAGTCTTTTCTGTTACTAGTGAGAATAATTTTCCCAGCTTCAGAACAGGAATGTTCTAGGCTCAATGCCCATCCAAATACCATGCCATGAGATTAAAGCATTGGGGTTGTAATGTCTGACCCTGCCATTTATCTGGATCAAGAAATCTGAAAAGATCTGAATGTTGATAAGTGGATGGGAATGATATTTGTCGGAGGTTTGGAAAGCATAATTGTCTGGGCCATCTGGGGGCAATGAGGATGACTTGAGCCCTGTCTAGTTGAATTTTCCATGGAACCAGAGATAATAGTTCAATGGGAGGCATAACTGAAGTGATTTGTCCAAGGTAGAAGAGGACTGTTGCTCACTGGAGCAGTTTACTTTACATTTCCTGTTTCTCACTGAGTGAAGATGGTGTTTATTACTGAATCATGTAATTCCCACTTGTGATAGGTGGCAAAATGCCTGCTGAGGCTGTCCACCAGCACATTTTAGGTGTCTGGGAGGTACACTGCAGATAGGGTTATGTGGTTCTGTATACACCAGGTCCATAAGTTGACCACTTCTAAAAAGAGCAGGATGGAGTATGTCTCTCCCTGCTTATTTACATAGAAAATGGTAGTTATGTTGTCCGACATTATCAGGATGTGCTGGGATTGCGTGAATGGTAGGAATGTTTTGTTGTAGGGCTCTCAGTTTCAGAAGACTGATGTGCATTCTGGCTGCCCGAGTGATCCTAGTGATTGTCTATGTGAGCTCCCCTATCCTACCAGGGAGAGGTTTGTAATTATCATTGTTGGGTGTGAGAGATAGAAATGGAATTCCCATGCACACATGTCCAGCATCTCTCCACCATTCCCTCACTTAGAAGGAATTGTCCCTATGGTATTCATGCTGTGTGCGCTTGGTGTACATACCGTTTGGAGCCAGCTTACAGGCAATGAAGGCTGAGTCTGGCATATGGCTCTGGAGAATAAGGTACATTACACATTAAAGTTTGTGTGTAAGCAGGTCTATCACAGTGCCCATGGAGTGAAATCTGTCTGTGGGGAGTGAAATCTGTGGAGAGGTAGGCCCTCACTTTGACTGAATCCAGTGTCGATCCTATAAAGTCTATGGCCTGTGTCGGAGTCAAGATAGACTATTCCATGCTTACACAGATTACCAGGGATGCTAGAAGGTGCATCAGTGATGAAGTTGACATTAAAACTTCCAGGTGAGACTGGCTGGTTAGAAGCCAGTTGTCTAAGTATGGGAAGACGGTGGAGCAGCCTTGTCTGAGCTGAGCTGCTATTATGAAGAACGCTTTTGTGAAGACTCTGGGAGCTGTAGTGAGCCCGAATGGAAGCACCCTGTATTGATAGTTGTGTGGGCCCCACCACAAAGCTGAGGAACCATCTGTCAGAGGGATGAATATTCACATGAAAGCATGCCTGTTTCATATTAAGATCCATGAACCATGTGACTTTTTGTAGGGATGGTATTATTGATGCTAATGTACCAATGTGAAATTTCAGTTTTTGAATAAAAACTATCAGTTGACACAGCTTGAGAACGGGTCACCAGCCTTCTTTCTTCTTGGGAATGAAGAAATACTTTGAATAGAACCTTTTTCCTCAATATTGAGGGAGTATCTGCTTGTAACAGGGTTCACGTCCCCCCCTCTTCCTGGGGCCCACTTGCTGCCCCCAATAAAGCTCAGAGAGGCTTCAGGGTTGCGAACCACCTGTGTCTTTATTTATATAAGGTTCTCCCACCACCGGTGTATCTATATACAAGCCTTGCAGGATTAGTCATCTCCTTTACAGGCAGAGGTAGCCTTCAGCTAGGAGGCCTCCAGTTCCCTCCCTGACTGACTTCTCCCTGGCTGCCCCCCCCCCCCAGCCTTTATAGCTCTTGGCTTGTCAAGCCAGCAGGTATTGCCAATCCTCAGGCCAGAATCAGGCCTTTTCCGTCAGCCCCAATCTATTTCCCCTGATTGGAGCTGACTGGGCAGAGGCTAATTAGGTGCTTTTGCACCAGCACCCTGGTACACTGTTGTATTGCTTCTCATTGGAGAAGAGATTGTACCTCCTGAAGGAGAACTGCCTTATGAGACTGGGTCCCTGAAAAGGGACAGGGAAAAGGGTTTTGGAGGAGGGAGGCAGAGAAACTCTATGGTACAGATGGAATGGATATCCAGCATGTACTTGTCTGTTGTTCTCACTGCCCAGTTTTGGGGAAATTTTGCTAGTTATTCCCCAATGGATCTCAGTAATAGGTGGAGATAGCATCAATACCAGGTTGCAGCTCTCTGGCGTCATGTTAAAAATATCTCTTGGCTGGAGGGTGAGGCTGGGTAGTGGAAGATGCATCTTTTGTTGTTTGCGAGGTGGCTTGTATGACGGAGAGTGATAAAATCATTCAGGTAATCAACTCACAATCTTTGACAGTACCAGCAGTTCCTGAGCTTTTGGGTCTCTGTGTTTCATTTTAGGTAGCACCAAAGTCAGCCTCTGAGTCAATGTGGAGGCTGCTACTGAAGGACTTTTGAGCCTATGAGTCTTTTGAACATGCCCACGCAGCTTAGGAGGACCTAATTTCTTATGGCTCGGGCATGAGGGCTCACCTGACTTGGAAAGAGTTGAGGCGGGTCTCTCCCCTTAGATCATCTATGAGGAGATCTGTTTTTATGTTTGTAAGAGTGCCCCTTACAAAGTCAGACACAGAATAGGGATCTTGCTACCTGCTGACTCTGGCCAACGTTCAGGAAGTTCTCCCTGGCCTGGGTCTGAATGGGGATTCATTGCCTGCTCCAAAACATGTTTCTGAAGTTGAAGTTCTAATGCCTGCTGAGTTAGGCTGGGAAAGGAGTGTCAAAAATTGCATTTGGTGGAGCAGAGGCAGCACTGATGATCACTGCTCACCAAAAAGAAGCGGGGGCAGAAAATGCAATTTTTGTAGCTCAGACTCTTGGGGATCCTCAAAATCCCATTCTGGGAGATTGGGAGCACAGGGTTGGGAGTCTAAAACTGACTAACTAGAACTATCAAAACACTAACAACAAAAACTAAGAATAATTTAAAATTTTAAATATTTACAGGAAGAAGAGAAAGGATCAGCTTGGGACACTGGAGGTTTCTGACTCAGGTTATGAGGTGGTAAGAAGGAACTGAAGAGGTGGTTGGTCTGCCTTGCCCTGCCCCTCATACCCTGGGTGCAGAGCACGAAGAGAACAGGGACACAGGCATGGACCAACAGACACTACTCGCAGGAATTCTTGGACCGCATGCCTGCCCACAGTGGAATACACCTAGGCACTCAAAGAAGAACTCCTCACTCCCAACTTTGTGCTCATTCCTCCAGACCACTTTGCCTTACTGACAGAGGAGCTGAGCATATACTGCTTCAACTGAGTTCAACTGCAGCTTTGAGCATTCAGCACTTCTGAAAAAAATCAATGCAAGGTGTTTCAAATTGGGCACTCCAAAAATTCAGAATACACAGTTACTTTGTCAAAATTTGGTTTAACTGGATTCCTCAACATCACATACAAAGTCTGTGACATATGCAGGGCTACAATTGAGTCCTCTCAAGTCACAGTCACCCTCCTTCACCACAACAGCACCTTTCTCTTCCTGCAATCCTCTGCCTCCTTCTGTACATACCTTACAACTTCTATAGAAAATGAGGCAGCAATCCCACACACAACCTAATTCATTATCTGATTGTAATTCACCATACAATTTGTTCCCTAAGGCCCAGTACCAGGAGGTGGGAAGCTCCTACACTGTATATTGCCACCAGCGAAGGGTATGGATCACTGGGGTCATTTGGTGGGTCACTGGAGGCTGTCAGGAGAAATTGGGCCCCACTCTATCTCAATTGATCTGGCATACTCAGGCTGTCTACTCATGGGGCTCCCAATTCAGTGTGTGCTGATGCTCTTTTGGCAACAACATGGACCCAGCCTTAAATTAGAGCATTCATATTCAGTTATTATTTTGGCACATTGCCAACCACACAGGCTAGAGGAGGAAAATGGAAATTTTCAACAATTTACAACTAAACAAAACCCCAATTGACTTTCACTAGAAAAAACAAATGAGGCATTTCTATGGCCCCAGGGATTTCTCCCACTGAATTTCAAAAGACTGCTGTAAAAACAGAAGGTGTTAGAACTCTCAAAGTTTCTTTTATAAAGGAATTTTTTAACAATCTAAATAAAAGGTCATTTCTAGCTCCATCTATAATGCCATAGGTATATGTAAAGCTTTACAGACAAGTTGCAAAAATTATAACAGTGCTTATGAAAAAAAATCTAAATAAACATGATAAGTACTTGCTTGATTCAGAGAGGATCTTTTAAAATTTCAGATTTTAATAGAGTCATAGTGACCTGAAGATTGGAATCTTTTAAATACAGATTCATATAAACACATTTTTTGCAACAAATGATATTATTTGTATGTTTAAGTAATTTGTACCTCATAAAGTGTGTTATATGTTGTAACGGTCACCGTATTTGTATGCAGCATCAACCTCTCTCCAAGAAGAGTGAAAAGACTATGGGTATGCATGATTTCAACCTTTCGTCTGGAGGAAAGAACATAAAAATACAAAACATAAAACATGTTGAAGATTTTAAGTAGATGCAAAACCAGAGAAGGAATGTATTTTTTTCATGCTATCAAAAAACATTTTACATCAAACTTGGACTTTATAATATCTATGCTTTAAATTGTTTATTATTCTTTTATCATGTAATGTTGCATATTACTTTCAGCTATTTCTGAAAATTCATTTAAACTGTTCTGTCCATACTGAATGGTTATGAGAATGCAATTTTATATGCAGGATGGGTTCTTGTATGTAACCACCTTCTTGCCCTCAAAGATGTTCATCACAGACACTTTCCTTTGGTAGAGGACAGACAGACTAGGCTGTACCCATCCCCCACCAAATCTGTCAAGGATGTCCCTACACTGGACAGATGGGTGACCGATGAGCAACATGAAGTGCTGCCTTTCCCTCACAGGACTCAGTGTTATGCTCCCATATGTCTTCCAAGAAAGGCACTTTAACATTTATGGGTTTTATTACCATTGTCAGTCTCTGTGCACAGCTTTCTTTCATACATACAATAAAACAGTCCTCATATATCTATTAAAACAATCCGGTATGAGCAATACAAAATTCTGAAGAGTTGTGAAATTCCAGCTAAGTGTAATACTGTTTTAGCATATTGTAATGCAAGTCAGAACAAACTATACCTTAAAAGTAGAGAAGGAAGAAGCTCTGGTTCCCAAATAAAACATCAGGGAAATTCAGCCAATCCCCCAAATTGTATTCTGTTTAAACATGTATATAGCACCATAAATATGCACAGTACTTATTGTATAGTGCCATAAATCTACACAGTGCTTTAAGAAAAAAAATATGGAAAATGAAGTGCAAACTCTCTATCCAGAAGCATTTACAATTTATATGGAAGAATAGGTACAATATGGATTAAAACAATACATAATAGATAAAGAGTGCTAGTGGTCATATCTGAAATGCTTAGAATAGAAAAGTTTTCATGACTTTCCTCTATGGAACTACAAAGGCAAGTTGGACAAAGTGTTCTGGTGGTATGTAGCCAAATAGGTCTAATTTATTAAATTCACAGATATTCTGTCAATTTTTGCAGGGGAGATGAGAATAAATATAACATAGCATGCTTTTGTTATTTTTTTCCAGACTTTTTTTTTTTTTTTTTTTTTTAAAGTTTCTTACAAAAAGCCACATAAATAAAATATTAAAGTTGCATGATTAACCATTTAAGAGTCAGGAAATGCAATCTTAGCTATGCCTCTTGTGTATATTCATTACAATACAGTCTTCAGTTTCATAATTACATACCACACTATTTCTAAAATGATAAAATATAATACAAGTTTCAACGACCTTAAATACATGTGTAGCATCTTGTAGTTCTATGTACTGTTCTAAACATAGCAAGGAGCACGAGTCATTTATATGAACACAATACAGGTATATGTAACATACTACAGATTGAGGATACAAAAGACTAATAGTGAAAACTTACTGGCTTATATATACTACATGTGCTCAAAGCAATACTGGCTTTATAGTTAATTGACTTCTCACCAACACTGCTTCCAAGGAAGGGTTTGCTGCTCATTGAAAGAAAATGTATAGTACCTAGGCATTTCAACAAGTTTTGTAAGCACCTATCTTACAAAGGAGAACTTACATAGAACTTTGATAAGAATGGCCATACTGGGTCAGACCAAAGGTCCATCTAGCCCAGTATCCTGTCTTCTGACAGTGGCCAATGCCATGTGCCCCAGAGGGAATGAACAGAACAAGTAACCATCAAGTGATTCATCCCTTGTCGCTTCTGGCAAACAGAGGCTAGGAACACCATACCTGCCCATCCTGGCTACTAGTCATTGATGGACCTATCCTCCATGAACTTATTTAGTTCTTTTTTGAACCCTGTTATAGTCTTAGCCTTCACAACATCCTCTGGCAAGGAGTTCCACAGGTTGACTGTGTGTTGTGTGAAGAAATACTTCCTTTTGTTTCTTTTAAATCTCCTTATTAATTTAATTTGGTGACCCCTAGTTCTTGTATTATGAGGAGTAAATAACACTTCTTTATTTACTTGCTGTACACCAGTCATGATTTTATAGACCTCCATCATATCCCGCCCCCCTCCCCTTAGTCATCTCTTTTCCTAGCTGAAAAGTCCCAGTCTTATTAATCTCTCCTCATACGGAAGCCTTTCCATAACCCTAATGATTTTTGTTGCCCTTTTCTGAACCTTTTCCAATTCCAATATATCTTTTTTGGGATGGGGCGAACACATCTGCACACAGTATTCAAGATGTGGGGGTACCATGGATTTATATGGAGGCAATATGATATTCTCTGTCTTATTATCTATCCCTTTCTTAATGATGGCCAACATTCTGTTCACCTTTTTGACTGCTGCTGCACATTGAGTGGATGTTTTCAGAAAACTATCCATAATGATTCCAAGATCTCTTTCTTAAGTGGTAACAGCTAATTTAGACCCCAACATTTTAAAGGTACACTGGACCACTGGGGCTATGAAATTAGTGTAAGGAAGAAAAATATTACGGGTTACCACACTTGTGCCACAGAATTTAAGGCCAGAAGGGATAACCAGGTCATCTACTCTGATCTCCTCTATATCAGTGGTGTGCCCCCCTTTACCGTTAACGGAATCTGCCCATGCCCCCCACCTCAATTACTGCATAGCCAAGGCTTCCTCAGCAGCGGAGCTTGGGCTGAAGGCGGAGCTGGGGGCGGAACTGGTCTGGGGGCAGAGAGGGAATGAGGGCAGAGCTGATCTGGGGACGGAGCAGGGGGTAGAGTGGAGTTGGGGCATGGGCCAGAGCAGGGTTGGGTGTGGAGTGGGGCAGGGGATGGATCTGGTCGGGAGGTGGAGCAGGACTGGGGGCTGAATGCGGTTGGGGGTGGAGCTCAGCTGGGGGTGGAGTGGGACTGGAAGTGGGTGTCCCTCCCTTCCCCTCATGGGCGCTGGCCCGGGCCCTGCCGCGCACCCCCTGAATGTTCCTCTGTGCCCCTTAGTGGGGCTCACCCCACAGTTTGGGGACCAGTGCTCTATATCATAGGCCATTAAACACTATCCAACCATCCACAAACCAAGCCCAACAACTAAAATTAGACAAAAATATTACAAGAGACTAAATTATTCTGTGCCACAGGCAGAGGACAGGGACTGAGGTGCATCAGTCCTTGAAGCCTCTGCAGTGGCATGGAATTAATGTAGTAACATATACCTCAAGGATCCTCACAAGTGACTCATGCCCCATCCTGCAGAGGAAGATGAACACCCCCCTAAGATCACTGCCAATCTGACTTCGGGGGATTTCCTTCCTGAGCCTGAATATGGTGATAAATTAGACCCTGAGCACGTGAGCAAGACTCACCAGCCGTGCACTTGAGAAAGAAAATTCTCAGTACCACCCCAGTACCAGCCCATCCAATGTCCCAACTGCAAATGTGGTCGTCTTACATGTTTGAGACAATGTATTTGAGAAATAGTATGTTTTCATAAAATTAGACTATTGTGGTATGCACTTGCAAGGGGACATATTTATGGCAATGTGTGCACCTTTAATTTTGAAATTTCCTGACTTGTGCTTAAATGTGAAAGTTAACTTTCTCTTAACATATATTCTGTATAAAAACAAAAATCAACTAAATACAATTGGGGGGAGAGAGGACACACAACTTTGTTGACTTTGTATTAAGGTGGTTAGACAGAATAGCCAACCAACAAAAAACAAATAAGAAGGAAAGAATCAATTAAGTCACTTGACATATCATCTATACTCAACTCATCCATTAGTTCCCCTTCTCAGCATCAACTCTCTTGACCCTTCTGCTAAAGAGCCAATGGATACCTATGACTATAGCAATGTTAATTGGTTTTATGTTTGTGTGTTTTAATTATTAATATTAATGCAGCTTTTGTAAGTTACATTGTGTGTAGCTGCATATGTGGCTTTGTACTGATGTGTGAAGAATTGCAAATAGTGTCATTTTCTGTAATGTTTAGGAAAAATGTATGAGAATGAGTGATTTATGTTAGAGATTATTCTAAAGTTATTTCTGTACTTAAAAATTACAGCGTTAAAGTCAGTGTGTGCATAAACAGAAGTGTATTTTATGGTGACAGTTAAGACTACATGTTTAGACAAACCACCTCTCCATCTTCTGCTACTACCAGCAACTTAGTGCAAATTTCACTTTATCTCCATGCTCCCATAAAATAGACCTGCTCCTCCCTGCCCCCCACAATCTCACCCATCCAAATCCCCCACATAGATCTGTTCACCTCCTCCTCTTTCCTCTCCATGGTACTGTTTTATAGTGCATCATATAACAGAACATGGGGTTGTGAGTGGGGGGCGGGGTTGGGATAAAGGCTTTTGGTTGGTGGATGAAGAGACCAAGGTTGTGTGTGGGGAAAGTCAAGCTTGTCTGCACTGAGGCATCAAGATCTCCCCATGGCACTACTGCCTTGATGGGCTAGGAGGATGGAGTGGCTCCCCTCCACCCTAGGCCTCAGCAAAGCCCTAATTCTTTCTAGCTCAGGCCTCACATTGCACACAAACGTCTTTGTCCCTGGGACTCACAAATCCCTAATAAATCCCATTTTTCCAAACTCTTTCACAAAGTATCATCTCCCCACAAGACCCAGCTCTTCCCTGCCCAGACTCCCTCCCTCGCTCACTAGGGGTACATGAAGATTGTGGCTGCTGAATCAAGCTTGCAGTGTCAGGAAAAAATGACGTGGCTGACAGAACCCTGCAGTTCTTCTGGCTAATCATTGCACTACTCACAATTATTCTTTGGAATAATAACGGTTTAGTTTTAAAACTTCAGAAGTGGTCCAAGTCCAAAATATCAGAAAAAATATGAGATAGACACGCACAGGTATGCATGTGTGTGATTTGGTGTTTATGAGGATTGTGGGTTTTTAGCTATTCAAACTCCCAAAATATGATGTGAACAGGACAAATTTCAAAATGGGAGCATTTTAAAATATTTCAGCTGTAAAGATTCACTAAAAAAATTACAGAAAATTCCTTTATGAAGAGCTATCACATCAAATTTGGAAAGCAAATTCAGTAACTAAAGTGCAAAACAGAAGGGATTTTACTTCTTCTCTAATGATGCGCTGATTTGTATTTAACTATGGAGGCCCTACGGATGCAGCCATAATTGGCTGGATTCTCCAAAGAGCCTCAGGGGTTCAGGCAACCAAAATTTTCAGTGGGAGAACTCCTTTAGGCACTTTTGAAAATCCCACCCTTCATTTCCTATAGTGCTCCTGGGAAGCAACAGAGCTTGCCATTGATTTATTAGCAGAAAGACAATTTTGTAGTCCATTAACTAGACTGGTCACAACATGGTTATTGGACAAATCACAACTGCTTCAGGCCTTTTTATGCATTTTTAAACTGGAAATAACTCCTGTCTAACACAACTGTTTTGAGGTTTTAGCCAGTAATATTTATAAAACCCTTTGAGATCCTCAGGTGGAATGTAAATTAGAAATACAAAATACGATTAACAGCAGCAATTTGGACTTAATAAATCCCTTGAGAAAAATTCAATTTAGGCATCTTTTCCACAATTAACCATGTCTCAGTTAAGTGAGTGTACTTTATTGATCATTCTATCCTGGAGCCCCTCAAGAAAAACCAGTGTCTACACAAATATCCTGTCCTAGATTGATTCCTACTTTTCTAACCACTTCCTCATTTCTGATGAAGGCATTACATCTGAACTTAAGCCCCTTCCATCATGGAGTTGATCATTATTTTTCTTCTTCATCTACATTCTTTTTCTGGAATATCATATTGCTAGTTTCAGCCTTGGATGTCACTCTAAATTACATGTCCTTCAAATAAAGGTCCCATCTATCTACTTTTCTTGTTCATGTCAACTCCTCACCAGATCATAACTTCCTACTATCAAACATTTTGAAAGACTGAACTTTTGAGTAAAACATACTACCTGTTCTGTGTCTTATTCCACAGCAGATTTCCTTAAATTAGACTTTTACTTTTCCCAGGGACAGAAATCTTAGAAACACTCTTTATTCAAAATATTTTTCTTCTCATAACTCAATTGTATAAGTAGCCAATCACCACCTCTAAAGTGTCAGAATTAATCATCAAGTTGAGCTAAAATCCTTATCCTTGCTTTAACCGCATCCCACATTAATAAAATTCCCTCTTATAGTCTTCCTAAATTGCTACTCTGAAATTTCAGGTAATACTGAAAACTGAAGCCAGATAACATTCTCACTCCAAGAAAAAAGAACATATCTTCTTGTCTACATTCATAATCACTGACCTTCTTAATCCAAATCAAAATTATCCTAGAAAAGCATACCTTAAAAACTTTTTTTTCTTTTTATGTTACGCGGATCAAAATCTAAAGCATTTTGTGAGTCATGTATGAAGTACAATAAGCTGTGCAAATGATCAAGTGCTTGACTCTGCTGTGTCATACAATTTTCCTTGATGCTACTCTACCATACCTACTATATCGTGCCATCAATACGGTTGTAGCTACTTGAATGAAATTAGGGAGGCTGGGTAGCCTAAATGACTGAGCAGAGAGCTTGCTACCAGATACTCTTGAGTTCTCATGCTGGCTCGGTCACTGATGCACATGTGTAACTCCAAGCAAATCATTTAGCCTCTGTCGCAGTATCATCATCTGTAAAGCGGGATTAATAATTTATTCAACCTCGCAGAGTGTTAAGAGGATTAATTACTCAGTGTATGGACATTGTTTTGAAAATGTAAAGCACCATGTAATAGCACATTAGAAATAATTTGGGGCTAGTCAAAATAGCATTTGGGAAACTAAACAAAAATCTGTCTACATGGAAACAACTAATTCTAAATTTCACTTATTACACTTTCTACATCTTACTTCTCTATTTTTATCACTATTTTAATTTTTATCACTATTTACATACTTTATTTGCTGTTCCTTCTGTATTTGTATAACACAGTAGTAGCTAATATTTTTATGAGAATGTTTTATTATTCTTCAGTTATATTTATTTCCATCATCTTTTTAAATGTCTTTATGTAATTCCTCCCAGATGTTTATTCCTAATGCAACTAAAAATGCAAATGACTGACCAACAATCTTTAATGATCCATAAAACATTGAGTTTCATATCTACTGTACTTTCAGAGATATACGGCCATATGAGAACAATACATTTAGTTTATTAACACCATTACTGGGTTTTTTGTTTTGTTTTCTAAAGCAATTTTGGTTTAAGACTTATTTTCACAAACATTTAAAAGTTACCAGACAATGTTTTTTATCTTTTGAAATTACTATTTTGTAAGAAATTAATCTGAAAATTAGGTATTTTTCTTCACTGCGTATCTATAAAAATAACAGAATCTGCAAATTACTCATCATAGACACTGCAGTTAATGCATTCTAAGCACTTTCTAGATGTCATGTTTTGTATTTTAAACTGAATATTACAAAAAACAAAACAAATTATAATCATTGTATGCCACTACAACTACTTCAGACAGTACACTTACTTGTGACCCAGGTGTTTGAGAAAATATCCCAGTACCTTCAGAGCCTGCACCCAGATACTTTCACTTTTGGAAGCCAGTAATTTATAAATGACTCTAAAATAAAAAAAAAAAAAAAATCAGTTAGCATATTCTCTGTTTACCACCAAACACCAGACATTTCCATGGAATCATTCATAGTCTTGTGAAAGTAAACAATAAAATAGTAAGAAAAGCGCTAGGAAAGGAACATACATATATAAGTGAAAGGAAGTATGGTGGGATCACAAGCTATGCTACTGGGTTGGGGTTATGGTCCCTTTAAGGTAGGTCCCAAAATGGAGGGGAAATAATTTCAGTTTCAACCAAATGAAATTAAACCGTCAAAAGGCTTCTTTCTTTGACTATTGGTCCAAATGAAGAAAAACAAACAAGACCTCCTTCAATCTAATCCAAGGTTCCACAGACACAGGGCTGCTTCCTTCAGCCAAGGTTCCAGTTGGAACAAAAACAAAACAACATTCTACAGTCCTTGAGCAGTAGGACAGTTCTGCTGTGTTCAAGATGAGTGATTAATTCCCCAATTAGGCCTTTAAGCTAGCCAAGGCCAGGTTCAGGAGTTTTATGAGACAGCAGGAAACCAGAGAGCACTCCTCTACCTAGCAAAACTTCACACTAACTCTCCCAACCTGGAAGCCCCCCCCCTTTTTTTTTAAATGGTTTCTGCCATGGGCAGTGGGTATAATAGGCCAGGGAAGGCTTAGTCTTCCGTAGTGCTGCCGCCGACCTGCCGCTGGACACCTGAGCCACAGTGGCCTCGCCCCTTCCCCGAGACACCCACCATCTCCTCCACTCCTGCTCCCCCGCCCACTCCCCAGAGGTCCCTGCTGCAAGCTACATCCCTCCTGCTCAGGGTGGCAAGAGCCAGCGAAGTGAGGAGTCTCGGCTGGGTTCTCTGGGGGCGGGGCCATCAGGGGCGGCAGGAGCTAGCACTTGGGTGGCGAGCGGCTCGGCCTGGCGCTGGTGCAGGCAGTGGCTCGGCTGAGAGAGAGCCTTCAGGGGCGGGAGGGGCTGGCGCTAGGTGGGCCAACCAGGCGATGGGCCGGCCTGGCACTTGGGGGGCCCTGCGGCTTGGCCCGGCCCGGCACTGGTGGTGGGGTCCAGCGGCTTGGGCGGAGGAGAGCCTTCAGGGGCAGAGGAGCCATGACTCGGCTGGGGGGGGGGCATCAGAAGCAGGGGGGACTGCCCAGCACTTGGGGAGGCTGGCAGCTCGGCCTGGTGCTCGGGGGAGGGGGAGAGGGAGAGGAGCGGTGGGTCGGGGGGATTGCTGGTGGCGGCGGCTCCGACCAATGTGACTGGGGTGGGTGAGTGGGGGCTCCTGTGGTCATGGGGCCCCCTCAGGGCTTCTTCTTTTACTGGGGGTGGGTTCAGGGCTCCGGCATGCGGGGGGCGGAGGGGGTCCTTGGGTGGAAGAGGCAGGGCTGGCTAGCTAGTCTCCCCAAAGCGGGGGTTCACCCACCACCCCATGGTTTCTGCCACTTAACTCCACCTTACAGCAGACTATGAAGTCATAGATACCAGTTCTTTTCTCCATGACTCGCATCTTAGGCGGTCTTTCAGGGCTAGCTTCCTTCTTCCAGCGCAGTGAGGGAATTTTGCTGTTTTGTGGTCTGCACACAGATTGGGCACATATACCCAATCTTAAGAAGTTACACTTAATTATGCAAATACTAAAACTATTTATCATACGCAATATACACACCGTTTAAGGGTGACCACTGTATATATCTAGAACAGTACACTGTCATAGATTCATACAGTATCAGGTAAGACAGGACATTAGATCATCTAGTCTGACCACCTATCTAATGCAGAGTACAGAATTTGACACAGTTACCCGTGTTGAGCCCGATAACTTGTGCCTGACTAACATAGACTCATAGACTTTAAGGTCAGAAGGGACCAATATGGTCATCTAGTCTGACCTCCCGCATGATGCAGGCCACAAAAGCTGACCCCCCCACTTTCCCTTAACTCTACTGTTGAAGTCTCCAGATCGTGATCTAAAGACTTCAAGTTGCAGAGAATCCTCCAGCTTGCGACCCCTGCCCTATGCTGCGGAGGAAGGCGAAAAACCTCCAGGGCCACTGCCAATCTACCCTGGAGGAAAATTCCTTCCCGACCCCAAATATGGCGATCAGCAGAACCCCGAGCATACAGGCAAGATTCTCTAGCCGGACCCTCTTTTTACCAGCGATGGCTGTTATTGCCTACTTGACTAAAATCATGTTATCCCATCAAACCATTCCCTCCATAAACTTATCTAGCCTAATCTTGAAGCCAGAGAGGTCTTTCGCCCCCACCGTTTCCCTCGGAAGGCTGTTCCAAAATTTCACCCCTCTGACGGTTAGAAACCTTCGTCTAATTTCAAGCCTAAATTTCCCCACGGCCAGTTTATATCCATTCGTTCTCGTGTCCACATTAGCACTGAGCTGAAATAATTCCTCTCCCTCCCTGGTATTTATCCCTTTGATATATTTAAAGAGAGCAATCATATCCCCCCTCAGCCTTCTTTTGGTTAGGCTAAACAAACCAAGCTCCTCGAGTCTCCTTTCATAGGAAAGGTTTTCCATTCCTCGGATCATCCTAGTGGCCCTTCTCTGTACCCGTTCCAGTTTGAGTTCATCCTTTTTAAACATAGGAGACCAGAACTGCACACAGTACTCCAAGTGAGGTCTCACCAGCGCCTTGTATAACGGAAGCAGCACCTCCCTGTCCCTACTAGAAATACCTCGCCTTATGCATCCCAAGATCGCATTAGCCTTTTTCACAGCCACGTCGCATTGCCGACTCAGTCATCCTGCGATCAACCAGGACTCCGAGGTCCTTCTCCTCCTCCGTCACTTCCAACCTATGCGTCCCTAGCTTATAACTGAAATTCTTGTTAGTCATCCCAAAATGCATCACCTTACACTTCTCACTATTAAATCTCATCCTATTATTATTACTCCAATTAACAAGGTCATCCAAGTCTCCCTGCAGAATATCCCGATCCTTCTCTGAGTTGGCAATACCTCCCAACTTTGTGTCATCCGCAAACTTTATCAGCCCACTTCTACATTCGGTTCCGAGGTCAGTAATGAATAGATTAAATAAAATCGGACCCAAAACCGAACCTTGAGGAACTCCATTGGTGACCGCCCTCCAATCTGACAGTTCACCTTTCAGTACTACCCGCTGCAGTCTCCCCTTTAACCAGTTCCTTATCCACCTCTGGATTTTCCTATCGATCCCCATCTTTTCCAATTTAACCAATAATTCCTCATGCGGTACCGTATCAAACGCTTTACTAAAATCGAGGTATATTAGATCCACCGCATTTCCTTTATCTAGAAGGTTTGTTACTTTCTCAAAGAAGGAGATCAGGTTGGTTTGGCACGACCTGCCTTTCGTAAACCCATGTTGTAATTTGTCCCAATTGCCATTCACCTCAAGGTCCTTAACTACTTTCTCCTTCAAAATTTTTTCCAAGACCTTGCATACTACAGAAGTTAAACTAACAGGCCTGTAGTTACCCGGGTCACTTTTTTTCCCCTTCTTGAAAATAGGGACCACATTAGCTATTCTCCAGTCCAACGGTACCACCCCCGAGTTTACAGATTCATTAAAAATTATCGCCCAGGGGCTCGCAATTTCTCGCGCCAGTTCCTTCAATATTCTAGGATGAAGATCATCCGGTCCGCCCGATTTAGTCCCGTTTAGCTGGTCAAGTTTGGCTTCCACCTCTGATACTGTAATGTCAATCCCCCCTCCTTTATTCCCCTCTGTCCTACTCCCTCTATTCCTAAACCCTTCATTAGCCTTATTAAAGACCGATGCAAAATATTCATTTAGATATTGTGCCATGCCTAGATTATTCTTAATTTCCACTCCATCTACATTCTTCAGCAGTCCCACTTCCTCTTTCTTTGTTTTCTTCCTATTTATATGGCTATAAAACCTCTTAGTATTGGATTTAATTCCCCTCGCGAGGTCCAACTCTACACGGCTTTTGGCCTTTCTCACCGCATCCCTACATGCTCTAACCTCAATAAGGTAGGTTTCCTTGCTGATCCCTCCCTTCTTCCATTCTCTGTACGCTTTCTGTTTTTTCTTAATCGCCCCTTTGAGACGCCCGCTCATCCAGCTAGGTCTAAATCTCCTGCCCACTAACCGTTTTCCCTTTCTCGGGATACAGGCCTCAGACAGCTCGTGCAACTTCAGCTTGAAATAATCCCAGGCGTCATCTGCCTTTAGATCCCTAAGTATGTTAGCCCAATCCACTTCCCTAAGTAGTTGCCTTAATTTATTAAAGTTGGCCTTTTTGAAATCGTAAACCTTAGTCACAGTATTATTTCTGTTAATCCTTCCATTTAGTTTAAACCGAATTAGCTCATGGTCACTCGAGCCAAGGTTGTCCCCTACAACCATTTCCTCAACGAGGTCCTCACTACTCACCAGCACTAAATCTAAAATGGCATCCCCCCTCGCCGGTTCAGTTACTACTTGATGAAGGAATTCATCTGCTAGCACGTCTAGGAACATCTGAGCCCTATTATTGTTACTAGCATTTGTTCCCCAATCTATATCAGGGAAGTTAAAGTCCCCCATGATGACACAGTTCTTATCAGTTTTTACTTCCCTAAAAACATTAAGTAGTTCTCTGTCCGCATCCAGGCTAGATCCCGGCGGTCTATAGCACACCCCAAGCACTATCTCGGGGGAGGCTCTAGTAGTTTTTACCCAGTGTAATTATTGCCCATACAGACTCCGTCTTATCCATTCCATCAGTTATTATCTCTTTACATTTTAGCTCATTATTGACATATAACGCCACTCCCCCACCTTTACCTTTTTTCCGGTCATTCCTAAACAGCACATACCCTTCCATACCTGTACTCCAGTCATGGTTACCGTTCCACCACGTTTCGGTTATTCCTACGATATCAGGTTTCATTTCTTGGACCAGGAGCTCCAATTCCTCCATTTTGTTACCTAGGCTTCTCGCATTGGTGTATAAACATCTTACCGTATGCTGTCTATCCTTTCTCCCATTAGTTGTGTAATTTGGTACGGACCCCATGCTGTTCCTCCGCCCCCTCTTTCTTATGTCCAATTCCCTACCCCTACCTATGTCTGTGCTTATCTCCTCACACTCCTTTTCAGAGTTGGAATCTGGCGTGGAAATTAACTGAACAT